TTGCATCTTATATTTAAGTCTATGAGCCATTTTGAGTTAATTTTGGTGAAGGTGGAAGTCTGTCTTTAGAGGGTTTTTTTTTTTTTGCATGTGAACGTCCAGTGATCATCCTTTCTCTCCTGAATTGTCTTTCTTCCATTGTCTATATTTGTGTGGATCTATTTCTGGACTCTCTGCTCTGTTCCACTGATCTATTTTTCTGTTATTTCACCATCACCACACTGCCTTGATTACTTAGTAGTTTTAGAGTCAGTCTTGAAGCTGGGTAGTGTCAATATTGTATTGGCTATTCTGTGTTTTTTAGCTCTCCATATAAACTCTCAAATTCGATTGTTAAAATTCACACAGTAACTTGCTGAGATTCTGTATTGAATGGCATTTAATCTACAAATCAAGTTGAGAAGAACAGACATCTTGGCAATAAAGTCTTCCTATCCATGTACATTAAATATTTCTCTATTTATTTGTATCTTTGATTCTTTTTCTTTTCTTTTTTTTTTTTTGAGGGATCTCACTCGTCATCCAGGCTAGAGTGCAGTGGCATGCTCATGGCCACCGCAGCCTCAACCTCCTGGGCCCAGGCAATCCATACGCCTCAACCTTCCAAGTAGCTGGAACTACAGGCACATGCCACCATGCCCGGCTAATTTTATGATTTATTATAGAGACGTGGTCTTGCCAAGTTGCTTGGGCTGGTCTTGAGGAAATCCTCTTGCCTCTGCCTCCCAAAGTGCTGGGATTACAGGTGTGAGACACCATGCCCAGCTGTATCTTTGATTTCTTTCATCATAATTTTGCAGCTTTCACCAGTGTATTTTTGTTCTGAGTTATTACTTTTAACCTTATAGCTCTTCCTTCATTAACTCGAGACCCATTTTGTTCAATACTGTAGCCACTAGATACATGAGACTATTGAACGCTTGAAATGTGGCTAGTTCAAATAGAGATGTAAATGAAAGCACATCTTTCATTTTAAATGAAAGCACATCTTTCAATTAGTTTTAGTATTTAGTAACACAAAATTATTTGAAATAAATTAATAATTTTTTTACAATGAATGCATGTCAAATTATTGTATTTTGATATATTCAATTATAAACTGTATTTATTTAATTTTATTATTAAAATTAATTTCACCTACTTTTTACTTTTTCTTACTTTACATTTTTTTGAGTTGGATTCTCACTCTGTCGCCCAGGCTGGAGTGCAGTGGCCTGCTCATGGTTACCGCAGCCTCAACCTGCAAGGTTCAAGAGATCCCTCTAGCTCAGACTTCAAAGTGGCTGAAACTACAGGCGCATGTCACCAAACCTGGTTAATTTTTTGAGTTTATTGTAGAGACAAGGTCCCGCCAAGTTGCTCAGTCTGGTCTCGAACCCCTGGGCTCAGGCAATCCTCTCGCCTCTGCCTCCCAAAATGGTGGGATTACAGGTATGAGCCACCATGCCCAGTCTCTTTTTACCTTTTTTTTTTAGTCAGAGTCTCATCCTGTCACCCAAGCTGGAGGGCAGTGGCACACTCATGGCCACCCTAGCGTCGACCTGCTGGGCTCAGTTGATCCTTCCCTTCAGCCTTCCAAGTAGCTGGAACTACAGGTCAGTGCTACCATGCCCAGCTAATTTTTTGATATATTGTAGAGAGGAGATTGCCCAAGCTGGTCTCGAACCAAGTTGCCCAAGCTGGTCTTGAATCCCTGGGCTCAGGCAATCCTCTCACCTTGGCCTCCCAAAGTTGTTTTTGCCTTTTTATGTGACTACTAGAAAATTTAAAATGACATATGTGGCTTGCCTTGTATTTCTTTCTTTCTTTTTTTTTTTGAGTTGGAGTCTCACTCTGTCGCCCAGACTGGAGTGCAGTGGCCACTCCCGGCCACCGAAGCCTCGACCTTCTGGGCTCTGGCGATCCTTCTGCCTCAGCCTTCCGAGTAGCTGGAACCACAGACGCGCGCTACCACACCCGGCTCATTTTTTTTTTAATTTATTGTGGAGATGAGGTCTCGCCAAGTTGCCCAGGCGGGTCTCAAACCCGTGGGATCAGGCAATCCACTCACCTCAGCCTCCCAAAGGTGTGGGATTACAGGCTGAGCCACCGAGCCCGGCTCTTGCCTTGTATTTCTACAGGACAGCTCTTCTCTAGCCTTTGGAATCTAGCCTTCTCAGGTGGGAGAAGGAAGAGCAGAAATACTGAAAGATAGAAACCAGTGTATTCTTGGCCTTTTAGTTCTAAACTAAATGTCAGAAATGTATGGTAGAAACAATGGTTTGAGAGACAACGATTCTAGGTTTTAAAAGCCAAGATCTGAAGCATTTAATATAAAGTAAGTGCTGCCAGGTGTGGTGGCTCAAGTCTATAATCCTAGCACTTTGGGAGGTGGAGGTGAGAGGATTGTCTGAGCTCAGGGGTTCGAGACCAGCCTGAGCAACTTGGTGAGACCTCGTCTTTACAATAAATCAAAAAAAATAGTCAGGCATGGTGGTACATGACTGTGGTTCCAGTTACTTGGAAGGCTGAGGTGGAAGGATCACCTGAGCCCAGTAGGTCAAGGCTGCGGTGACCTCCAGCCTGGGCAAGAGTCAGACTCAAAAAAAAAAAAAAAAATAGTAAGTGCCATACAAATAGAGTTGGAAGAATGGATCATTGTCAGTATTTCTGCCTCCTTCTCCATAATCTAAAGGCAGATATAATACAAACTAGGACGAGAAGAGGGAAGCAGGGAAGAAAGAGGAAATATCCTAGAATCTATGTCCCTGATAAGGTGCGCTTTGATCTCTGTCCTCTAATGTGGGGGGGGGGGATGGGGGATGGGGAGGGGAGTGATCAGGGTGAGGAACCATGGAATCCCAGGGACTTAGGAGAGTCTGAAAGGGAACAAAGGGAACCTCAGACCTTTATGGAAGTACCCCAGGAGGCGGCATCAGTGGAATTGTTTTCCTGTGCCAGTCTCAGAAGTAGTATTGTGGGTTTTTTGATGTGTATATAATGTATAGTGTTTAGATCAAAGTAATTAGTATATCCATCATCTCCAACATTTATCATTTCTTCGTATTGAAGATATTCTAGCTCTTTGAAATTATGTATTATTGTTAACAATAGCCATCCTAAAAATATGTGGTACATATATACAATGGACTATTATGCAGCCATAGAAAAGGACAAAATTGTGAACTTCGTGGCAACTTAGATGGATTTCGAGACATAATACTCAGTGATTTATCACAGAAACAAATAACTGAGTACCACATGTTCACACTCATAAGCGGACCCTGAACAATGATCATAATACTATAAGAAAGGGGTTGGCAGTAGTGGGATACTGCTGGGGTGGGAGGGTGGAACACAACATCCATAAGGGTACCTGATCTCAAACCAGGTGAAGTGGGGACCAAATGAGGCCCAAACTTTACCTGTACAACAACCATTCATGTATCTGATCCTGAATTGTACCCCACATCTCTAAAATAAAAATTAAAAAAAGTCATCCTACAGTGGTATAGAACTCTGGAATGTGTTCCTCCTACCTAGCTGTAACCTAGTGTCTTAAACTTTGTTGTCTTCAAGTTTATTTTGATAAACCTTATATTTTAAATAATGTATTTCTTTTTATTTTATATATTTTATTCCATAATCCATTTCTTTCAATTCCATTTTCCATGAACTTTTTGAAGTCCCCTTCTGGGTCTTTCTTTTGAAGGTGGGAAAAGATTGACGATGGAAGGAAAAAGGAGAGCATGTCCTCCGAGAGACAGGTCTTAGAGAGTATGTTTACGGAAGGTGAGGATGGAAATTGAACCCTTAAAGCCACCTGTGTGCTTGTAGAGAGTATGTTTACGGAAGGTGAGGATGGAAATTGAACCCTTAAAGCCACCTGTGTGCTTGTAACCCTGGGAAAGTCTTCAGATTTCCCCAGGAGCAGCATACCCCGGTTGGAAGACACCTGGTTTAGATGGTCTAGATGGGAATCATACATCTAGTATGTTCAGGCTCTCACGGAGATCTGTATTTAGGAGTCTGGGAAGGAAGGTGTGATCTGGAAGAACAAATAACCTCAGCTAGTTTGAAGGAAATTGAAAGTAAACAAAATGAATTGCGATAGTAGTTTGGAGTTGGCAAAGCACCACTGGGTATTTTCCGCTGTGATTATCATATTAACCTTGTGGGATAGCTATGACAGGGTTTTTGTCCCTGTTTTACAAATAAGAAAAATGAGGCTCAGGGAGAAACTTTTTTTGATAGACGGTTACCTAGGAAATCTTTTAGTAGCACTTTCAGTTAGTGTCATTTATGGTAAAATAGTTTTGGAAAATTGAATCCTAATTTACTCTCACTTGACCATGAAATCTTGACAATTCATAAATATGCTATACGGATCCTGCAAATCTGAAACACCATGGCTAATAAATCTTTAACCACTAGTAAATCTTTAATCCCCTGAAACATTTGACATCAAATAAATTTCACTGGTACATATTTACGTTTGTTGTACTCTGATAGGGCTGAACCAAATATACTGAGAGATGTTATTAAACCTATCTATACCTTTCTTTTCTGGGGAACTCTACTGTAGTCTGTATTAATTCCTCTGACTCTGAATGAACTGAAATGGTCTGGGTTTTAAGTTTAAATCAGATTAAGTTCTACCTTTTAGGTGAATGAAGTAAGACCTTGGTTTGTTTTAGTGGTTACTTGTATCAGTGTCACTTCTCACTCCCAGACATACCAAAATTAAACATTCGATGCTATAATCACTAGCTCTGAATATGATCAGGCAACATGGCCGGTAATTCTTTGCTTCCCCTATTTGTTTTAGATGATCAAAAATAATTTGCTTATTAAAAGTTAAGTGTGTGGCTCCTGTGAGAAAGTGAACGATGCAGTGGTCAACTGCAGTGCTTCCTATTTTCAAAGAAAGTCCTAGACCCAGAATGTCACGTTAGTGCCCTGAGGTAATGTGGTTTCTGTAATGGCCCAACTTTATTCCATCTCCAAAGGAAAAAAAGAGTCAGTGTTCAAAATACGTTTTAGTATACATATCACCCAGGTGGTATGACGCTATATTTCAAAGACAAATTTATCTATTTAATTATTTTTTTCAGAAGTTAGTATTTCCTAGGTAGAATATATTTTCTAAAATTTCAGGAACATTTTCAGGTAAACTAAAAATTAATTTCTTCTGAGACTCTACAGTGTGTTTCAATCTATTCCATAATATGATCAATTGAAAAGATTCACATGCATCACCAAATCTGAGGTTTAGTTGAAAAAATTTGGAACAGCTTACTGAATTCCTGGAAGAAAAGAAAACACCTTTTAATGCAGGCGAAAGCATATTGAATTGAAACATTTTCACTTGAGATCAAAATTTATTTTCTGGGAATGGCCATGCCAATATCAAATTATTCTTTGGTTATCGCTAAAGATATTTAATTCTAGACATTCCCTACATGTTAAACAATTATCATTGCCTGTTAGTATGAGAAAAGCTTATTTCTGTAACTTTTTTTTTTTTTTGAGTTGGAATCTAACTCTATTGTCCAGGCTGGAATGCAGTGGCATGTTCATGGCCATCCCAGTGTCGACCTGCTGGGCTCAGGTGATCAATCCTTCCTCCTCAGCCTTCCAAGTAGTCAGAACTACAGGCACGCAGTACCATGCCTGGCTAATTTTTTGATTTATTTGTAGAGATGAGGTCTCATCAAGTTGTCCAGGCTGTTCTCAAACCTGTAGGCTCAGGCAATCCTTTCACCTCAGCCTCCAAAGTGCTGGGATTACAGGCTTGAGCCACCGCACCTGGCCTTCTGCAACATTTTTAAAGCTCCTTCTGAGAGTAATGGTAGATGGTCTTATCTAGTTGGCTAACTTCGTCTTTTCCTAGTGGCTGCTTGCAATATCACATTAGGACGGTTCTGAAACTCATCCGCCATCAGTGAGTGGAAAGAAGGTCATGACCAACTGAAGTGCGTCTGCTATGGGCGTGTGTGTGTGTGTGTGTGTGTGTGTGTGTGTATTGGGCAGAGAAGTATAGAGAGCTTCCAGATATTTCCAGCTCTGACCCAAGATGGAATTTACGTTATGCCTGCAATTAGAAGTCTTTCAGTGTTGATACTATAGGGTTGTGGCCCAGTTAAAATATTCCCCCATGTTGTTGGAATCAACTGAGTGAATAAAGGGACTTGTTGAGTCTATTAAGCTCTGCATTTGTCAAGGCAAAACAAGAACTTATCTGTCCATTCTGCAGATGACTTTCATGGCCAAGGGATTTTGCATGGGAGAACTTACCATCTGGTGATTCTGTGGTGGTTTCCTCCACAGTGTGCGTGCCCCTTTGGATGCTGGCAGGGGTGGTCACTCCAAACTCATCATCTGTGCCACTGGGAGTTGGAAGGCCCGCTGGGGTTCCCTGGATAGCAGGATTTGCACCTGTCTGTCCTGCAGGAAGGCTTCCATCCTGGACATCTGGTTTAGTCCCTGCCTGACTGGTGGGCAGGATGCCTCCCGGGAACAAAGGATGGAGGATGAGGCCCGTGAAGAATGGTGAGCCCACTGGCTAGAATGAGGCAGGCAAACAGAAAACAAAGTCAAAAACGACACATTTGAAGGGTGGTCAACCAGCCTTCTTTTTTTTGAAGGCAACAAGTTTGGGTAGGAGTGGCAGGATGGAGAGGGTAATGTCAGAGAAGACAGCAAAGAGCCGGTATTCCTCAGAGGAAATACCCGTCTTGCCCAAGCCAAGTCTGATGCTGGCTTCATCGCTGGGATTCCTTGCTATGCTGCATTTCCCTAAGACAGGGAAAGCCAGAAGCTAGTTATAAGAAAAGGAATAAGACATAATTTGTTATTATCAGGTATATCTGAAGGCAGAACTAAGGTAGAAAAACCTACGTAATGAGGATGGGTTGTATCTCTGTTATTGACCTAAACATAATCTTTCTTTTGCCCATAAATTTTTTTTAAAAAGTGGTTTAGCGAGTTAAAAATTAAAGGAAAATGGAGTCAAGTAGATTGATCAATTATCATTCTCATGGCTAGCATCTTGTCAAGTTTCTTTTGATGTATTTCTCAAAAGGCACTGAAATATTTAGACAGAAATAGTTATCTTTCAACTCAGCCACTGTGTGTTCCTTGTAGTTACATAAGAAACTCCTCTCTATTGGAATTTTTCATTGTTAAATTCTGATTGAGCAAGTCTGGGGCAGGACTCAGCCATCTGCATTTTAAAGCGGCTTTTGAAGTCATCCTGGCTTGTTGGGCCAGAACTGAAGTTTGGGAAACACTGTCTTCAATTTAAAAGACATTGAAACCAGAATTAGACTTACGCTGAATGAGAGACAGAAGTGGAGTAGGTTACAGAAGTTCTCAAGCAGAGGACTGTGACACAGTTTTGAAATCAAAAAGGCGATTGGCAGCCATCATCAGAAAAGAAAGAGTAGACTCATAGTTACTAGAGTGCATTTCATATAGTAAAAGCAAGTATTGTTTCATGAAATTTGTGTGTGTGTGTTTTAAGTTGCTTGAAAAATGTAGTTGTTACTATGAGTTGTATACTACTAAAAAAGTCTGAAAACCACTTTTCAATTAGAGTGCTAGAAAAATGGCTTTGGGTCTGTATCTACTCTTTTTGTTGCGTTTGAGACTTCAATTGCTTAAGCTCTTTGAGCCTCAGTTTCTTTATCTGTAAAGCTGGGTAATAAAATTTTTGCTTTGCAGTTTGGGGAAAGTCCAAGGCAACATATGTAAGGGATCTGCTAAAGTGCTTGTTATATAGAAAAGCCCCAGTAACTGGTATATGTGGATGTTCATGCATCAATGTTGAGAAAACAGACACAGGTCCCCTTATTTATGGAGAATGGTTAATATCTACTTTTTCCATAATAAACAAATTATTTAAAAATTGTGTTCTCAAACAGCATGTCAATTCTTGACTTTTGTTGTCATAATTATATTCTTTCTTTTTCTTATTTTATGTATTTATTTTTCCTTTTACCAGAATTGGTCAGATGTCTTTTTCAGACATCATGTTCATTCAAGTTGTAGTCTCTAAAAAATGACCTACGGAGGAATGCATGGAATTATCTAGTAATGGTAATATAAATTTTGTTTAGGTTCAGCCCTCTAGTTATTTATGCCTACAGGGAAGAGTTCATCCATTACTATCTGATGCCAGAAAAAGATAAATTTTCCTTTAGTATTAAAAATCCAAGTCAAGAAATTTAATCTTCCCTGCAATAAATGTCAATATTTGTATTATTATTCATCTGCATGTATTTTAATAGTTTATAATCCTAGATTTTAACTTTTCTAAAGTTTAAAAAGTGTGCACTGGCTCTCTGGATAAAACTCGATGTGACAGCAATATTTGGAAATAAAAGCTAAGTCAAATTAATGGAAAAGTAACAGGAGAAGGATGATGAAATCCCCAAAGAAAGAATGCCTAATGCAAGGACCCATAAAAATGTCCATTTTATTGTAGTACACACCAGATTTAGGACTTGTTGTCAAAAGAGACCACCAGAGGACAGAAAACATTGTAGTAGAAGCACAAAAAATTAAAAATGTTAGTAATTTTATTTTATTTTTACCAATTCCTCTGAGCTTAGGATAGTACCCTAAAAGCAAAAATGATAACACAAATTATTAGACACATTGTAATATATTTGAGGCAAGATATGCATAACATAGCTTAAAAACTTAAAATACTTTTGAAGATAATAGAGATTTTGCATTTTCAATAACATTGAAAATGTTATTGAATGCCTTTGCAATCTATATTACAAAACTCAAGTCAGCCTATGATATGAGACTGCAAACATTCATTCATTGAGTAAGGTGAAGTCACCTGCATTGTAAAAATTATACATTTTTCTATTATTAAGTGGATGCAAATTGGAGAAAACCTGGAGAATGTAGAAAGCAATAGTGAAAGAAAAATAAACCCACCGTAATCCCACCACTCAGAGTTTGATACATTTTCTCCCAGGTGTTTTTTTGTACGTTTCTTTTTACATAATAGTAGCCATACAATTCATACAATTTTGTGTCTTGCTTTTTCTTTTAGTAGTGCACAATAATAATTTAGCTGTATTATTGACAGATTTTAATAAATGTAATTTTAAATGGTCACATAGTATTTGCTTTTATGTTGCACAATTTACTGTTTTTCTTTGGTCTTACATTTAAGTGCATTTAATACTTTTCCCTACTAGAAGTACTACTTTGATGACTGTATTGTACATAAACTTTTGTTATATTTCGGATAATATTTTGGGGATATATTTCTGGATGTGAAAGTAAGAGTTGATACAGCCAGGTACTGTATTACTTTGGGAGGTGGAGACAAGAGAATTGCCTGAGCCCAGGGGTTCGCGACCAGCCTGGGCAACTTGGCAAGATCTCATCTCGACAATAAATCACAAAATTAGCTGGGTGTGGTAACGGGCACCTATAGTTCCAGCTACTTGGAAGGCTGAGGTGGACGGGTCGCCTGAGCCCAATGGGCCGAGGCTGGGTGACTGTAAGCCTGCCACTGCACTCCAGCCTGGACAACAGAGTGAGACTCCTACTCAAAAAAAAAAAAAAAA